CAATCATGCAAGAGAAAGGATTATCCCTCCAGCGTAAATCCAGGCACCGGTTGACACCTGGCACTGTTAAATTTGCTGCTTATCATGTTCTTGCTCTTGAGGGAAGCAAAGGCCTAAATGTTATTGAACTTGCTGACAAGATTCAAGTAAGTAGTAGCTACATATTTGTAATATCCTTTCTTGCTTGTTTTTCTCCCTCCCCAAAACTCTAATTCATTGTTTACTAGAAATCCGGGCTCCGAGACCTGACAACAAGCAAGACTCCAGAAGCTTCTATATCCGTTGCCTTGTCGAGGGATCCAGTACTGTTTGAAAGAGTTGCTCCTTCAACATACTGTGTACGTCCAGCTTTCAGAAAGGATCCTGCTGATGCTGAATCAATAATTGTTTCGGCTAAAGAAAAAATACAGAGATATGCAAATGGTTTTCTGGCTGGTCAAAATGTTGATGAGGAAGAAAGGGAAGATGACTCTGATAGCGATGTTGCCGAGGGTACAGAAGTAGATGCCTTAGCTACCCCTTTGGTTGAAACAAACAAAAATGGTGAATGCATCGAAATTGAGTCGTGCTCTGGTAATGGTAAAGAAAAGCTGCTTTCTGACCCTGCTGCTCCTCCGCCAAATGAAATTGGTAGTATTGGTAAGATATGTGTATTTTCTTGTGGGATATTATGAAAACTTGCAAAGGACTATCTTTAATCATTCAATTGATGTTTATGAAGATATTGTAGAGGGACATCCTGAACAAGGTGTTGAGATTGATGAAAGCAAGTTGGGCGAGCCTTGGGTACAGGGACTCACAGAAGGAGAATATTCAGATCTATCGGTCGAGGAGCGTCTCAATGCCCTTGTGGCCTTGATTGGCATTGCAAATGAAGGGAACTCGATTCGTGTAATTCTTGAGGTTTGTGATTTTATAGAGCTCAGGAAATAGTTGTGTAAACTTTGAGATGAAAAGCTTGTAGTTGGGCTCAATCTTATGGAACTTTTTTCGTGCAGGAGCGAATGGATGCTGCAAACGCTCTTAAAAAGCAGATGTGGGCCGCAGCCCAGCTGGACAAAAGGCGATTGAGGGAGGAAATCATTACCAAGCTTTATGATTCGTCTTTCAATGCTGCTGGAGAGAGTGGCTTGAGTCCACTAGTTGCTGTGGAGAATAAAATGTACGACCCGTCAGCAACCAATATTGGAAAACTTGAAATGGCAGAGGATAATCAAAATTCCATTGATAATCTGGCTCCAGATGCATCAATGGGTCAGTTCATTTCTCCAGCTCAGAACGGACATTCGACAGAAAGGTCTCGCCTGCAGCTGAAGTCTTATATAGGCCATAGATCAGAGGAACTTCATGTCTACAGGTCCCTGCCTTTGGGTCAAGACAGAAGGAGAAATCGTTATTGGCAGTTTATTGCTACAGCTTCTTGCTTGGATCCTGGTTCCGGCAGAATTTTTGTCGAGTCGCCCAATGGCAATTGGAGACTTATTGATACTGAAGAGGTAGTTGCATATTGGCAAAGTTTTT